ATTGGAATACTGACGTAGGGACAAATCATCGACAGCATGCTGAATCTTCGAAAGAATTTCCACGAAGGTGGCCGCGCTGTAGGGGCATGTTTCTAGCGAGCGTACATCCACATCCAGCTGCTCTTCTACCACTAGCAAGTCATCCACCTAAAAAAAAGTCATTCAGGAAATTGCTTTTTACATACTCGAAACTCTTACCTTCTCCTGGAACTGTGTAACACACTCGGAAAGGCGCAGCACATACGGATCCAGCTTATAAGATTCCCAGATCAAACCGATTCCCTCGGAGACCAGATTCAAGACTTCCTTACGCAGGCCGGCAACCAGAGGTACAATGCTGGCACGATCTTCGATCTGTATGAAATTCAAAATCAAATTAGTATATATCAAGACATTTTGCTAGGGCATAAGTGGAATCTAAATAATGCATGCGGGATTTGAACAATAACAAACAGTGGAGCAATACGTTTTTGGGAGCGGCACAACAACACTACCTTGAATACTGAATTTAGTGCTAGACTCCTATTATTAAGCTGCATGAAAGAAAGGTTGTTGGTATTTTTGGTTGATATAAAAACAGGTTGTACTATGTTGTCTATGTAAGTGGTGAACTGTGTCTGTGGGTGTCTTGTTTGGTGGTGTCGGTAACAAAATTCAAGCTGCACGCCACGCGTAAAGCAATGCAAAAAACAAAGCTAATATTCCGAAAGGAAAACAAATTTATGTTATGCATATGTCCAAAGTTGTTCATACAAAAATGTTTAAATAAGTGAAGAAATTGTTTAAAGAATTAAATAAGTAGTAAATAAATATTAGTTAATAAACTTATCATTGAGAGACGTGAAGCAAACATATGAATATCATTTAAGCTTTAGCAATAGATCAAGAATATCTACATTATATATTTAGTAGATCTCTTTCTCTATGAATTACACAGCTCGTAACCAAGCTTAAGCTTGTTTAATTAGACATATGCATTCAAAAAAGTAAACAGAGCAATTGCTCCAGCTTTGGTGATGGTGGTTGTGTCGATTGATGATGATGGTGGTGTGGTGCAGCGTGTAAGCTAAGTGAGCATATATTACCTTCTCCAAGGTGCGTTCGTAGGTGCGAACGCTTTCAATCAGGGATATTGCATATGGATAAATCTGATTCGCCTGATGAGCTTTGTTGACAATGGTGAGTGGAACTCTAAAAGAGAAAAAAGAAGTTATTTTTAATTAAATATTCAATTTCGTATTCATCCACTCACCTGAAGCCCAGGTTCTTGATGTTGCGCACTTCCTTGGCCAGCGTTATTATCTCTGGCAAAAAGTTGACACGAAGACGCAAAACATTGCCACGCCCAGTGCGGGAACGAGTTGACTCAATGGTAAAGATTCGCCCGGAGCTGCCGAAATTGCGCTCCTGGACCTTGCGAGCCCATTCGTGGAACACTTCAGAGATCGACAATTTGGCGCGGAAGCTATCGCCATCGGCTTTTAGTTTCTGGCCCTCGATATGGGTCTCCCAGCCTTTGCCCAGCACATCCTCGACACGCTTCAGATACATGGTCAGCTGGTTGTCGATTTGACGCGCCCAGATGATGGAGCCCGCAACTGGCGGCAGATCGCGCACCGAGGATAAGCGACAACTCTTGCTTTGCGGATATTGCACCTTAAACTTTTCGTGAAGTGCCTCGATGTCGTCCTTGACACGCTGTATCAGCTGCGTCTGGTACTCGCGAATGGCGCCACGAATGTGCGGACGTACAAACAACGCATTGAAGCGGGAGAATATGCGGAACATCTCGTTTGCGTTCTTTGCGGTGCCCAGTTGGTCGCGCAGATGGGCCGTGATGCGGGTTTCCACACGATCTGCAGATAGCATCCCATAATTAATTTAGATTCAGACTAAATTGGTATTAATTCCCTTACCTATCTTCTCTTCGTAGCGCTTGACAGCTGCTTCCCAGGCCTCGGAACCTTCCTTGGTAATGTCCAAGCAATCCACCTCCTTGACATTCTCGTACGCCAAGTTCACCTCTTCGATGGCATTCGCATCGGCAGCATCCAGACTGTACGGCTGCTTGGTTTCGACGGCGCTGCCATCATCGTTAGCCGCCTGCTTAGTGGGCCTCAGCACACGCAGAATAACCGTACGCAGTTGCTCGTGCTGCCTGCGGAACTTTCGCATGTGCTCCATGCGAGTTTGCAGCTTCTTATGAGCCGGTGACACACGCCACACCATCTTCAGATGCTCGTCACGCTTCTTCTTCACAATGTCACGCAGCAGACCCTGCAGCTTATCATACTCATCGTCCCAGCAGCTAAAGATCTCGAAGCACTGATTCATAACGCGCTCAAATTCATCAAATGGAATATGCATCAGCCGACGGGTGCCAAGCACCTTGAGTAACTGTTGCGACAAGTCCCGCGAGATGGCCTCGATGAGCTTCAGACAGCGCTGGATGGGATACTTAGTGTTGCGCACTTTACGCAAATGCGAGAAAATCTGCTGCACAGCTGGGCGGATCTTTTCCAGCTCTGTTGCAGACAGTAGATCGTTGATCGGGAAATCCTTCATTAGGGGATTATAATCGGCCACAGTGGCCAAAGCCTGCTTTAGGCCTGTGTCCGTGTCAAACGAAACTGTTGCGTGGAAACGCTTGCCATGCTTCAGTATATCCAAGGTAAGAGCAACTTCTGGAGACTCCCGTTTCTCTTGAATGCGATACAATGCGCGTTCCAGATTCAGCCAAAATGATATTTCCTACAGAGAAACATAGATTATTATTAATCTAAGAGAGATTCATTAAATACTTTCGTACCTGCAGCGCAGTGCCAGAACCGGGATCACGATTCAACTTGGTAACTTTCTTGATCTCAGTAATCCAACGATTCACGCCATTTTGCAACTGATTGAGAAACGATGAATCCTCCACTTTGTCACCAAAGTCAACCACCTTGGCCTTACGGTTCTCATCGGCGCACTTGCGTATGACCTGATTGACAACCGGATGGGCAGTCAGCGTAATCTCTGGAATATCAATGTTCTGCTGCAAATGCAACAGGCCCATCTCCAGCTCCGCCAGCTTTTTCTCCACCGATGGTGCCATCTTATCGCCATCGCGATCAGCACGTCCAGACTCTTTGACATAGGACTTGAAGTACGGTGCCAATGATTTGCTAATGAATGCATGAAGCGTCTCATAAGGTGAACCGTCCGAAAAGTTGATCAAACGCAGCTGCGAATGAATCGACTTGTCAGCTTCGACGACCATGCCACGCTTAATGCAGGCCAGAGAAGCCATGCGGCTGTTAGTGAAGTGCACATCGTTGCTGATTTGATAAGACACCTGTTCCTTCTCCTCCTCACCTTCTGCCGGCTGTTCGCTGTCATCCTCTGCGAGATTGAGAGTGAGAGTAAAGGCTGAGTGAGTGTCTGTTCGGCCTGTTATCAAGTTCTCACCTAAACCCACATTTCACTCAATGCCAAATTATTATCTGACATTGGCGTTTAATGACGCAGTCGCAATGTCACTGACACACATTCATTACCAAGGTGTTAACCTTCGAAAATTTAGCGGCCAAGGTGAAACCTTCAAATTTCATGCATTCAAGGTCTGAACCTTGAGCGTGCGTTGCTCCCACATAGCCTGACCCTGATGCGAGGCATCGTTCAAAGTCGCGAGTCAATGAAATGTACATGCGGACGGGCTCAAGGTCGATTCGTTTCCGCAAACAAATCGAAAAACAGCTGTTGCTTTGTTTACAATGCGGCAACCGGCAAGCAGTCGAATATCTGGCCACACTAAATGAGCAACAGGCTGGCAGCACTGCGCAGCTAGTTACTGCGCATGGTCAATAAAACTATAAGGTAGCAAGACTAGTTAGGCAACATTCTACGTTGACGTCACATAATAACATGCGTACGTAACAACCCCAGAAACTTGTTGATCTAGTCTGAGTATATCAATTTGAGTGAAACCTATCATACAAATTGGATACACCAAAATTTTTGTTATGGTTTATGCTTAATGCGTCAATATCAACAGATATTTAAATTTAACATAATTTAATGTGTACCGCACAATATTTTAGTTATTGGAAACTAAGAAACAAGCAACATTTCGCCGCTGATTTGCTTTTGCATATACTTATGACGTCACGCACGGTAACCACACACAATAACCTGTATTTTGAGACTATGAAAGCTGCTTCTGAGTCAGCTGCCATGACGTCATGCGCATTGCGCATAGCAAGCCACGAAAAAATATACAGCAGGCAATTGCCGATTGATTTTTAACAATATTGTTGCGTATGCAAAATGGACTTTAGAGAAATATTTCTATACTCTACTATATTATGAATATATTTTTATAACCGCTAAACCTGTCTCCATATCTGCAAGCTCCAATTAGAACTCTTTTCCAACTGGGCGTCGCCATTTTGTTCAAGTTCTCAATAGTTCCTGAAAAGACATTACTAACCTTTAATGCAATTACGCTGCACATACAGCGCCTGCACTTGCGGATCAGACAGAAACTTGCGTATAGTCTCCTGATTCACTGGATCATTCAAAGCATTATTCAGCGACTCCGGCACAACATCCTCCTCCGGCAGCAAAATGGTAACAGCTTTACGCAAGTAATTTGCAAATGCATCATAGTTGGCTATGGACAAATTAACGGCTGGATCCACCGATGTATCGGTATTGTCCAGCGAATCGCCCATGTTTTGCAACTATTTTTGCACGTTTTTAGATAGTTTATTGTATTAGAATTCACTTTTTCACTACACTAGAGAATTATCACGCCTAGCGAAAAAATGACGTCTGCAGTTTATGGCGAAAGTGCAACGTTCAGATTGCCACATAGTTGTAAACAGTTGCAAAAAGCTTTGTAGAGCATGCAGCCCTGCTTTTGTTGTTGCCACGCAGTCAATAATGCTTCCCGCCAAAATGTGCGCGTGTAAAGCAGTGTACCTACAGCGATATGGCAGCGCTGTAGAGTCAATCAGCTGTTTACTCTGCCCATCGTAGTTCAATTTGTTATTTAATACTTTCGGCACAACTAGTTGCTGTTTATGTGTAACTTTATCAATTAAAACAGACAAAATGCAAGCTCTGAGGCACAGCCACATTTTGCGTGGCATTAAATTGAACTGGTGCCGTCGACTATTAACGCAAAGCTGCACGGGCAGTGAGGTATGCCGGCATATACAATTTAAAGCAAATAAACAAAGTGTTTTTATTTTAGCAATTGGAGCTGACAAGTGAGCTGAAACATCGCATTGAGAAGCACTGGAATACGCATATGAACAACATTCATTTTAATACTAAAGATGTACAAAATAAGTACTATGTGCTGTCTATGTTTCCCTATCCCTCGGGCAACTTGCACATGGGGCACGTGCGCGTTTATACGATCAGCGATGCAGTTGCTCGATTTCAGCGGATGTGCGGAAAGAATGTCTTCCAGCCCATTGGCTGGGATTCATTTGGTCTGCCCGCCGAGAATGCGGCCAATGAACGAGGCGTTGCGCCAGCTGAATGGACCAAAAAGAATATCGCACAAATGAAGCAACAATTGGAACGACTGGGCTGCTCCTTCGACTGGGCACACGAGCTGTCGTCCAGCAGTCCCGAGTACTACAAGTGGACGCAGAGCTTGTTTCTCATGCTGCACAAACGAGGGCTGGCCTATCAAAACGAGGCTCTGGTCAACTGGGATCCAGTGGACAAAACAGTTCTTGCTGATGAGCAGGTGGATGCCAATGGCTGCTCCTGGCGCTCCGGTGCCAAGGTGGAGAAGAAACTGTTGAAGCAGTGGTTCATACGCACAACCGCGTACGCCAAGCAGCTGCTCGACGGCCTCGATGATCCCACACTGCGCGATTGGCGAGATATTATAAATCTGCAGCGCCATTGGATTGGGGAGTGCAATGGCTATGCCTTTACACTGCCAACTTCTGCCTCGAATCTGCTGCGCGTTTGGACGCCTAATCCGGAGCATCTCAAGGATCCACATGCATTCCTCGTGCTGCGCAATAAGCATTACCTAAAGAAGCTAAGCAATGCGGAACAGTTGAGCGTGGAGAATCCATTTGCGGAGACTACGATCCCGGTGGTCTTCAATGATGAGGCTGCTTTCCCAGCGGATTGTGATGTCTACTTAGCCGCGCCCACCTTCCGCGCCGAGGACCGTGAGCTGTGGGACAGCCTGGGCCTGGCCTTCTGCATCACTAACAAAGATGAGGAACATATTAACCCGGGCAACTGGGAGCAGCTGCGCAAAGAGGTGCTACAGGCAGCAAGTCGACTAAATGTTGGTGGCTATCGCGTTTCCTCCAAGCTGCAGGATTGGCTCATCTCACGGCAACGCTACTGGGGCACACCCATACCCATTGTACACTGTTCCAAATGCGGAGCTGTGCCCGTGCCGGAGGAACAGTTGCCCGTTTCACTGCCTCCGCGTGATGCTGGCAAGGATTCGCTGCTCTGCGACTGTCCAAAATGTGGGCAATCCGGGGCGCAGCGGGAAACTGATACGATGGACACTTTTGTGGACAGCTCTTGGTACTATCTGCGCTATCTGGATGCGCATAATCCTAATGAGATCTTTGATGCCAAGCTGGCGAACGATTTCATGCCTGTGGACCTGTATATAGGCGGCAAAGAACATGCTGTGCTGCATCTTTACTATGCCCGGTTCATGAATCACTTCCTGCACAGCTGCGGGCTGTCCCCCACCTCGGAGCCTTTCTCTCGCCTGCTTGTTCAGGGCATGGTCATGTCGCGTTCCTATAGAGTCAAGGGTAGCGGTCGATATGTACGCGAGTCGGAGGTGGAGATTGTGAATGCCAAAAAGAATCAAGCGCTGCTGAAGGCCACCAAGGAGCCTGTGGTCATGAGCTGGGAGAAGATGTCCAAGTCCAAGCTGAATGGCGTCGAGCCAGATGATATCTTCAATGAGTACGGCACGGATACAGCCAGGCTGATTATTCTTGCAGACGTGGCCCCCACATCACATCGCAACTGGTCGAGCGCCAGTGAGTCGTATTTTTGTATAAATTTACATTTAATATATCTAAATTTAATTATTTTTCAGCTTTTCCTGGCATACTCAACTGGCAAAAGCGCTTGTGGCTAACCTTGGACGACTTTAAGGCAGCTCGCGAGGAGCAACAGCCAGATGAGCCAGTGGACACATCCAGCGAAGCATTTCTGGCCGAGGATGCAAAGCTCTTTGATGCCCGCAATTTCTATGTGAAAGGTGCCACCTTTAACTATCGCCACGCGCATCAGCTGAGCGTGGCCATATCCAAAATGCAGGGATTAACGAATTCCTTAAGAGTAGGTTGAATTACTCCCACTATACTTGACTAATCAGCTTCTTCTCCATTTCTCCAGCGCACACCCAAGCACATTCAACGCCTGGGCAAACAGTTTGAGCGCGCTTTGGCTGCACAGATCATCATGCTGGCTCCCATGGCGCCGCACTTTGCCTCCGAGCTGTGGTCGAAGTTTGTCTCCATACCGGGTCGCCTGAATGCGGAGAGTGAGGAGCTGCAGTGGACAGAGGATGTGCTGGCACAGCACTGGCCCGACGTGGATGCCGCCTACCAACTCGATCTCAGCATCAAAATCAACGCGTTTGAGAATTGTGTGATTAAGGTCGCACGCAATCAGCTAGACAAGATTAATCACAGCGATGCCATGGACATTGCCTTCAATACGGACTCGGTGACATCCTATCTGATTGACAAGAAAATACGCACCACAAATTTTGTTCTCTATCCGGGCATCGAAGCCATCCTCAACATTTATGTAGAAAAACTGCCAAAGGCCCAAAAGTCGGCGAAGAACAGCAACGATGAGGACAAAGCGGAGGCCAAGTAGTCAGCGATATTGTTTAGGTTAATTAATTGTTTAGCTAAGGTTTCGATAGGGTTACGATATATGTATATATGGTATGGCATTTGCATGGGTTGAACAAGCTTTAATGTAAGGGTGCTAGAGGCAAGCCACTTTATACTCTTGCAGAGGAAATCCTAATTAACTAAGGATATATTTAATAGACGAAGAAAGAACAATCATAAAAATCTAATTTAAATTACTGAACTATATCCATTTGTCCGTCATATATATCGAAATATTAGTAACTATTTGTTTAATTTTTGTTTTATTATTATTATTGTTTAAGTTTAATGTTAAATATATATAAAAATTGGACTATATGCAGGCTTGTTGCCCGTCACGAGTTGGATAAATGCCTAGGATCATAGGAATTACGTTTACTGATTCTCCACTAAAGAAGCGTTGTAAGTCTACACAGGCAATGTTCTAGTGAGGATTCCTGGTTTGCCACCTCTACCCAGTTCTCTAAGGACTCACTTCATCAGCTCTGCCATTAGATTCCGTACATAGACATCCAGTTGTGAATAGTCGAGCAGCGTGTTCCGAACTATATCCAACAACATGCTGGGCCAGAGCGTCTCCAGCTTGTGCAGTTTCTCGACGGCGTTGCAGGTGTTCTCCAGGATTAGCGCAAAGTGCTGTCTACCTCGATCCCTGACACTAGGTGCCATGGCAATCATACCACCATCACCACCAGTGGTCGTCGTCGTCGTCGTGGCAGTTGTCTTCTTCCATTGCAGAGCCTCCTTGCCGACTACAAGGCGTAGAGATTTGTTTTCCGGGCGCTGCAGCCACTCCTTGGGAGACAGCTTGCTGGCCGTGCAGCTCTCGTCGAGACGCAGGCGGGCCAGCAGCGGCTGCAACATGCCCTCCGGCATGGACCAGAGCACCAAATTGGACAGGCCCGCATACATGGCATTCGCCGCCTCTGTCTCCGCCTCAGTGACCTCCTGGCCATTGAGCTGCTTCAGGCCCCAGTGCGAGAGTCTGTAGATGGCATAAGCTCTCCAGGCTGGCTTACTCGTTATGTTATTGCCTTCGACATCGATGACCAGCGAAGTCAATCCCTGCAGCTCGGCCAGCGCATTCAACTGACCTAGCGAACTGATGTTCGTCTCCCTGAAAACGAAATGCTCGGCATGCGGAAACCGTATCTTAATCCTGCCCAGCATGCAGACAATGCTATTGAAATTGATGTAGCTAAAGTTGAGCGTGTGCACATCGTTCGCCTTGGATGGATTCCATTGCTTGTCGATGAAGCGCAGCGCGCCCTGGCCATAGATATTCAGATATCGGCCACAGATCTCGATGAGGTAATCGCCGCCCTGCTCTCGCTCCCGCTCCGCGGCGCTGGGCTTCGATACCGTTATGGCAGTGCTCGGTGTGGGCGTGCTCGAGGCTGTGGGCGTGGCTGCTGCAGTCGGAGCTGCTGTGCCCGCCTTGCTCTGTGGCAGCGAGACAACGTTGCTGCCCGTCTGATTCGAGCTGTTGTTGCTCTGCTTCGCGCGTCCTGCGCTGTTGGAGCTGCTGCTGTTGCTGGCGCTGCTGCTGCTGATGGTCTGCGCGCGCACCAGGCTGCCAGTCATGTAACGCCTGCAGCTGCTGGGATTGGCACCTCGATTCAATTGTAGGCCCAGCTGCTGCTGCGAGATGGGCGTCTGGCGCAGACGTTGCTTGCTGCTGCCCGGACGAGTGGCAGCTGCGCTGGAGGCGGAGGAGGCAGGCAGCGGCAATGTTGCTGTTGAGGGCGGAGGCGTTGGCGTCTGTGTGGACGTGGGCGGGGGCGTGGCAGCGCTGACAGATGTGCTTGAGGCATGGGGCGTCAGTATTACCGAGGGAGGCGTGGGCGAAGCAAGACGTTCGCCATCAGCCGGCGACGAAGGTGTCCCAGGCCGTGGCTGAGGCGAGGCAGGAGCAGGAGTTGTTGGACTGAGTAGCTTATTGGAGTTTTCGTCGATGGCCGATTTCTGCTGTCTGCCTGGATCCTCATTGTCCGTGCTGTAACAGCTCGAAGAGGAGTCCACATTGGGCCCCAGACTAGAGGCCTCCGAGGAGGCATCCTCCTCTTCCAGTTTGGGTTTCTGCGCCGCTATAAGTGGCAGCTTGAACAGCGCCTGCAGCTCGGCCAGCTCGTCGCGAGGCTGCACCTGTGGCTGCTCCGGCTCTGGTTCCGGTTCCGGCTCCTCAGAGACAGCTGCCTCATTCGATTCATTGATCTTGGCCAGCTCGCTGGTCAGCTTGCCCTTGGGCCGGCCCAGCGTTTGCTGCGACCTCAACAGCTCCCAATTGGTGCGCGCATTCGAGATGACCTCCTCCCGGCGACTGCTGTGATAGGCATCGGAGCTGCCATGCGTCGCCTGGGCCTGCTCCTTGTGCTGTCGCCAAGCGAGCGCCGAGCGACGCACTTGCTCCGTGATGGGCATCTGGCTGAGCGATTGCAGCAAAGGCAAATGCGAGACCAGGAAGGAAACACAATCACCGGCCAGCGACACCGGATTGTTTTCGATGGTCACCTCCAGGAGGCGAGCGGCACGCGCTATGCTCGCCATGTCGTCCACCTTGTGCAGCTCGTTGTGGCACAGCCAGAGCCGCTCCAGCGCCACCAAGTGCTGAAAGCCATTGATGCGCCGCAGCTTGTTCCGCTTCAAGTTCAACTCACGCAGGCTGCGCAGACCCTGGAAGTCCTGCTGATTGATTTGCCTGATTTGATTGCCAGCCAGATTGAGGGATTTCAGCAGATGGAGGCAGTTGATTCGGCTGCCCAGGGTGGTTAGCTTATTGCCGTGCAGATCTAGGACGCGCAGCGTCCCCTTCAGCGAGGCCAGGCCGCCGATATCCGTGATGCGATTCTTGCCAAGCAGCAGCACCGAGAGCACAGGCAGCCCATCCAGATTGGCGATGCGTTCGATCTGGTTGTCGTAGAGGTCGAGGAAGACCAGCTGGTGGAAGATGATGCCATAGCTGGCACTCAGACTCAACTGCTTGTTCTTAATGCTCAGCTCGAGCTGCGCGCTGGAGGCGATGCTCACAGGCTCCTCCTCCTCGCCGCCTATGAGCGAGAGAGTGCTGTTGTTCAAGGCGCTGCTGCTCTCCTCGCAGCTCTGCAGCTGTTGGCTGCCCGCCAGCAGTGCCTGCGCCTTCAGCAGCTGGCGTCGCTGCATCAACTGATGCTGGTGCTTCATGGCCTGCAGGCTGTTCGACACGAAGCTCTTCGACTTCTCCAGGCCGTGTCGCAGCCGCAGCGCTGGCGGCGGCGTCAGCTGCGCCTGGCCATAATTGAAGCCGCGCTTGGTCAACTTGGCGCGCTGCGGTCCATTGATGGCCAGCGCCTGGGCAGTCAGCGGACTGCCGGAGCACGGGCTGCCCGACTTGGGCGACAGACGTGAGGCATTCTGGGTGTTGCTGACAGTGCTCAAGGCTCGTGTGAGACGCGAATGGGCGGGTCCACCAGGTCCACCTGGTTGGCCTCGCCGACCAGATCGCTGCTCCGCTTGACCCTTGTTGTTTGTGGCTAAAGAGACGCGGTTTTAGGAGGAGGATTCAATTACCTAGAGCTCTGCACTTACTCTGATTGCTTGGCTGGTTCTCCCGCGGCGTCGGCTGCTGCTGCTGCGCTGGCACCACTGGCAGCTCCTTGGGTATGTGAAAAGTGTTGATCAGATTGTGCTGCAGCGAGAGAAGCCGCAGGTTGGGCTCGTTCTCGAATATGGGTATGGCAGTTAGACCCCTGCGATCGTAATTGATGCGATCGGGCAGCTCCTCGCGCTCCTTGGCCAGCCGCTGGATGCGACAGATGCCGTTCGGCTGTGGGGTGACAATCGCACCACTCACCAGCGTGCCACCCGTGCTGCCCACCAGAGTGTGGGGCGTGGCAGCACTGACCACGGCGCCAACAGCCGCGGCAGTGGTTGCCGTCGTCGCCGGCCGACAGCTGTTGGAGGCAGCCGACGAGGAGGTGGACTTGGATCGTTGACGCGTGATGGTGCCGCGTTGCAGCCGCTGCTGGCTGCGCAGCTGAGCGGCTGCGGCATAGCTGCGCTTCAGCTGCTGCTGCGACTGGCCGTGGCCCACCAGCAGCTCTGCGGGCGGTTGAGTGGTGGTAGCAGCTGCCACACGCTTCTGTATGGCATTGTGGCTGAGGGTGCTGTGGGAGCGACCGATGGGACGCCGGCGCAGACGTTGATTTAAGCTAGGAACAAACGGTTCGATTTTCAGCAAAGATGTTTGAGGTAAATAGTTTTGTTGCACTTGTTGTTGTTGTTGTTGCTGTTGCTGTAGTTGTTGTTGTTGTAGCTGCTGTGGCTCAATTGGCTCATCGATTAGCATAGATCTACCGTGACATTGTGCCATTGACATCAATGTGCGTCGCCTGGCAATTGTAGCCGCTGCAGCCGCCGCAGCTCCTCCAGCGCCTGCTCCTGCTCCCGTTCCAGCTCCAGCTCCAGGACCAGCTGCTCCTGTCGTCCTGCTGCTCTGCGCCTTGACTTCCACGTTTGTGTTTCATAATCGCTGTTCGTTCACAAACGATTCGTCAACAGGCAGGGACATTATGATTATGTTTTCCAACTCTTAACAAAGCAGCCAGCTGCGTTGCATAATCGCCGTCTACTTATCCTGCCAGAGCAAATCCTTGCAGTCGATTGGCCAAACGAACTCGATGTCGACTGAAAGTGTTTCTCGTTCTCGTTTGCTTCTCCTGTTATCTAATTTTGTATTTTATTTTAATGCTTTCTCTCTATGAAATTTTGTTTTCAATTAGAACGCGATTTGCTTTTGCTGCTGCTGCTGCTGTTGCTGCTGCTCCTGTGCGGAGCTCCTCGCTGCTTCTCGCTGCTTCAGTCTTTGAGCTATTTTTTATTTATATTTTTCTCCTTTTTTTCCGTTTTGGTTTTGGTCTACCAAAGGGCATGGGCATGTTTTATTAGTTTGTTTATTCGGGTTATACACACACACATGTAGCAAATTGTTGGCCCCGGTTGCCATAGACCTGCAGAAGACAGTAGCAGACAGGTCGCTCGGTCGCTCGCTGTCCCTTTCGCTCTGGGCCGCTCTCTCGCTCGCTCTAACTATACCGCTAAGCTATTACCATGCCTATTGCTTCGTGATTTTCGCTATTAGTTTGTTTATTTAAAGCGCTTTTAGGGCGGCAGTCAAAGCGACAAACGGCCAGAGAGACAGTCATTCGTATATTAGGTTCAACTGACATCCGCTTTTACTTCTGTCTTCTAAACATACCAAAACATTGCCTTCAACTGCTTGCATTTTCATTGGGCGCTACAACAGGTTCCATGAGGTCTATCGATATTTAGATGTGTGAGGTATGTGAAGATATGTTGAGATATGAAAACAAAGATATGATAATAAATGTTTAATTGAAAATGTATGCTTATATCTGTGTTAACTAACATATTCATCAAACTACCCTGCCTATTTTAATATAGCATAGTAATTGAAGTAAACTATATAGTTAACCAGCCAAAACTCTAATTATTGATGCTTTCCTAGTTGAAAATTGGCTCTAAATAATAACTAAGCTTCTGAACCGTATAGAACTATAGTTCTTTACTGAAAGATCGATTTATCTTGGGATACTGTTCAAGATAATATGTCAAATATATATATACATATGTATATCTCCTCCACACGTAACATTCCATTCCCTATAAGCTAAATCTTAGCGTAAAGCAAATTATATTAAATCAAATTAAATTTCTCCTTCATATATGTACATATTTTCAATCGTGACTGCCATTAAAAGATTATCAACATATTCGACTTTAAGTAGTTTTATTAACTTTGCCATTAACTTTAACCAAGCGCGCTCAGCGTTCACCTTGGCCGTGCATGAAAAGCCAAAGTCGTTTGCATTAAAAACATATTTGCAGGCTTTTGCTGTAGCTGCTATGCTCCTTGTTGTTGTTGTTTTTATTATGACTGTTGCTGATGAAAACAGTTAGAATTGCGTATGGCAACACCCAGAGACGACCCACTGCGAACAGTGTTGGCAGCTGCTGAGCTAAGAAATATGTTGGATTCTGGTTAAATATTGGCCAAAAAAAGGCTAGAGGCTAGTAGGCTAGAGTTTTCTCAAAAAGTTTCCCCTAATTATTTCCTTTAAATATTTCCTCCAAAACTTTATTACTCAGCTGAACGACCATTTAATATATCCACCAGGCCTCGGCGACTGAAGAAATGCTGCAGCTGCTGCCCTTTATATAGGGCGACTTCTACTCAAACACATACTCGCGCTCAGTTGTTGAGCCCGACGCCAGGTAGAGGCCGTTGCAGTCGAACATTCACTGACCAATGGGAACACTCTCTCATTCTAGCTTCGGTGCTGCTGCATACTTATAGACAACTTAAATGATCGTATGTAGGTCTTCTTCGTTTGTCAGACAGTCTGGAGGGACATCAATTTCTGCTGTTCTATAGTTCTCTTAAGGACTAGCACTAATGCGTATCCTGCCTTACTTTCTGGTTTCTTATCAATAGGCTCGACCCAATTACAAATTGCCTAGATCTAGCCTAAAATAGGCTAAATCGGCAGCACTGACTGCGAAAGAGCTTTGAGTGGAGAGACACGCACATAATTGGCTGCCAGCATAATGGATTCACGTGCCAGTTTGCCTGTCTGGCAGCACTGGCTGCTACCGCTGCTGCTGCTGCTGCTGCTGCCATTCTTTTTCTTTGCCCTTTTTCGCCTGCCTTTTGCATATGCAATAGCTAAATGACAAACGCAGCGCACATGCTGGAGTGAGATAGAGACAGTCGCATATGCATTCGTCAAGTTGGAGGCACTCAACAATTAGCACGCACCACAGCGCAGGCAAGTCGACACATAAGAAGAGAGCAGTCGCATGGACAGGCCCGTTAAGCTGTGCTAGTAAAGAAATGCGTGCGAGAGGGAGGCGGGATGAGCTTTGCGAAATCGAAGACAGCAACAATTCGAATTTGATTGTTGTCATAAAAAAAAGGACATAAAGCAAAAGAAAAAAAAAAGCTTGACTGGAATGTGCGTGCGTTGGCGAAAATGTTTTGCTTCAACTAGCAGAAGCCCAGCTAGTCGAAAAACAGCAACAGGAGCTGCCTCAATGTCTGGGCTGTTAATTGCAGTTGCTCCAAAGGGTTCAATAACTCGGCTGTTGATTGGCAACCAAGGCAGCCGGGCGAGTGTGTGCGTGTGTGGGTGAGCGCGTGTGTGATTGTATGGGTGTGCAGCGGATGAGGCAAACAGGCAGTTAGCCAAGTTTAAGGCCCATCACGATAATTGTTATTGTTGGCTGCGTTCAATGAACTAGACGAGGACAGCAACAAGTGCGAAACAAGTACAAGGATTTCTTAATGATATAACAGTAATTGAGTAAGCGGAACAATGGGCAGCGTTGTAGAAAATAATTGCATGCGATATTTGTGAAAGAAGAGCCTCACAAAGAAACAGACAGAGTGAGAAAGAAAGGGATATATATATAGATAGAAGGAGAAAGTAAGACGATGAGAAAGAGAGATAGAAAGAATAAATTACTTAAAGGGAGATACTAAGAAAGAGAGCGAGACAGGAGAGAACAAAAGAATACAGAGAGAAAATGATAGAGAAATAGAGAGTGATATACATAGATAGAGAGAGAGAGAGAGAGAGAGAGAGAGAGAGAGAGAGAGAGAGGAAAAACAGTGACAGAGGCAGAAGTTGATAGTGATCAGGAATCTATAAGCCTTATTCTGCGAGTGCAAAATATGAACTAGTTCCAAAAATAGCCACACACAAAGGTCAGCTTATTTTCCGCTAATTCTAAGTTTGTAAAATCGGCTTCCTTTGTCCTTCCACTTGCTCCTCCTGCACTCCTTCAGCACTTACCACCAGTTGCACTTGGAGTTTTCTTTGCTGCCGCATTGCTCAAGTGTTGCGCAACAATTTGTTATGTTCAAGTTTAAAGTTACAAAAGTTGCATAAACTTTTGCAAATTGTTGGCCATTGCATTGCGTCGTTGGTTTATTTAATGCCATTGTCATTGATAGGCCACGTCCTTTAGACCTACGCCGCCCCAGCCGCCCGCCACTGGGTTAACCGAAGCTCCTGTTGTTGACATCCTTTTGGGCCATTAATTTTTCAGACTTTTGCATGTTTCAAAAGCTTGGTTAAATTGTTGTCTCGTTGCTGCCCTGTGCGACAGATAAAGACTGCAGCGCGGCTTCAACCTTTGACCCCGTGCGCGCACAACTCCCCCCCTGCACTCGTCTCGTCAACCTTGGCGATATTTTCACTTTCGCTTTTTGCTTTACTCTGCACGCGCTCATTATCTCAATTGTTGCGGCTGTTGTTGTTGTTTCTGTTGCTTTTTCTTTCTTCTTTTTTTTTAAATAATTATGGCGCGCTACTGCAATTGTCCCTGACCAAGCTCGCACACAGACACAACACACACACACAGAGAGAGAGACACAATCGCATAGTAGAAAAGAGTTGATAAATTGTGCAGAAAAATTGCGTGGTAAACAGAGATAGAGAGAGAGAGGCAGATGGAGGAAGGGTGAGCGAGCGAGGGACTACTGTGTGTGTGAGTGTGTGTGCTATTTATACATATACACATCTGTGTTTGTGTGGCATCATTAGCTTTTCGTTGTTCTTCCTTGGCCCTCAGCGCTGGCCGAGCAATTTAATCAACCAGGCAGCGCGCAGAAAAGCTGATAATACCGTTATGAATAATTTACAGCAAACAAAAGCATTTACACACTCACACACACATACATACACAACTATGTAGAAGCGCTTTATTATTGTTTTACTTCTCTCAGGGTTTATGTATAATTAATAACGCGACAACAAAAGTAACCAGACGAAAAACAATAACAAATTTAATAAATGGAAAATAATGAACAACAATGGAATACCCTATGATTAGTATATTCATGTGTATAATTTACTAAGGGGTAATTTGAAAAGGGTCTAGGTTATTCGTTTTCAATTTCGTGAACTAGTTCATTTTGTTCACTGATTCATCTTGTAAGGATTTCAGAATATAGTTGCTCATTCGATTGTGATTAACTATATATAAGCCGCTGAACTACTCAATAGAATTTATCGTAATATCGTAGCAATAAGTAAATAAAATACATTTCTCTTGTATTATCAAATAACTGAAATGGATTATATATCATAATTGACTGATCGCTGAACAATTCCCGTATTTGACTGTAAACATTGCTGTTCTATAGAATTTATTATAAACTGTAAGATACTTCTATAAATATAGATCAGTTACCATGGAAGTAATTTAATATTTTAGAGAAAATGAATATGGATTTGTAAGCCCATCATCATAAGGTATAGTAAAACCTGTCAATATGTGGTTTGATTGAGTTAACATACAGAAACATAATACTCTGTGTGTAATTAAGAGAATTAAGATATCTTAGATATACCGATTGCCCTTTGATACGATATGTTCATAGAAAGATCTCATCAATTTAGAAATCATGCCTTACGCTGATATACATAAGTATACTCTTTGCTAGGGTATTACAGGTGTGATTGCTATTTGTATTAGCTCTTCTATTCGCATTCACAGTTATAACTCCGTTAACAAAGGTCATTTTAATTAGATGCGGCAACCTGTTGCGGTTCCTTGCTTCAATGAGGAGGTGTGGAGATTGCGGCTATGTTTTCTTTGTGTAAACAGGCTGTGCCTCAATTTAAGCCACAGTCTCATGTCAAAAGCTATGCCTGCTTCTGTCAGCGCCGCAAAAATCTTGAATGCGACGCCTGCGGTTACGCATCACGTGGGTAGATGGGAAGGGAAAGGCCCCTCCCGGGTCGATGCTTCGATTGACCGCAGTCAATTAGACGAACAGCAGCACAAACCACCAACACATTAGCTCGACATTTATCGCTTAAGCATAAACATATATTTTTTGGTATTCCTTCACATAGAGGAAACAAACCTCTCAATCAGCTAAGACTAGTTCCTTATTCTATTCTAGGAGCTGATCTAGTTGTAGTCGATTGTCATGATTTCGATTATTGTGTCGAGTTCCGACTGCATTAGTAGTTTCCAACTGTTCATCAGCTTGGACTAGCTTGTTCTGTTTTTCGCGCCGCTGATCTGGTTCGCGTGAACCGCCACAGTTTTGAACGTCTGCTTAGGCCAGCTAGCTCGCTCGCTTCCAGTTCCGTCCGCTTCGACAGCTCATCCTTGGCACTGACTGTTGCTGGCGATGGCTCCGGAACTAGTTCCGTTGTGTTGAGTATTTGTGCGACGTGTGCCTCGTCGATTGTGCCCCTAAAAATCAAAGGATATGGCCACTCGTGGCATATGGTGGGTCCACTGTAGTCACGCAGTGTCTCGATCATTTGATCCAAGCGCTGCACCTCGGCGTAGTCATCGTTCAGGCATCTCACCTCATCCAGCAATGCGGCCACATTCGATTCGAGCACCTGCAATAGCACCCGCAAGAGGTGCGATTGAAAATTAGATTAAAACTTAAATCGCTTAGTTTGCTCGATTTGCGACAAGGCGCGAGACGCGAGAAGCGCGACGCCTGACACGGTATCAAATAACACCGTTACGCTCATTGATAGCCCCGGCCTGGAGGCCTTAAATAGGTAAGAGCTAGATAGATAAGAATGATCGACGAGTGGATGGCCTCTAAATGATATTGTCCTTCGATTCTGTGTTTACTTTGCGAATTGCTTTTTAAGGCCTTTAAGACTGATACTTAAGCATGTTCATAGTGAAATGCTTTGAATGATGATAACAATAATTATCATAATAGTATTACCTATAACAATGATGGTGATAAGAATTGTAGGCTATATAAGAATTCATAATAATCACAGTCTGGGACTTTTGATGATTAAAATATCAATAATATTGAATACAACGAAAATAATGATGATAATAATGTGAATAATTATATTGACAACAACAATTAAAATATTAATAATCTCTGATAATGTTAAGCTACCTCAACTGGGTTTTATTCTACCCCAACATCCCTCATCAAACACGCGCTAACCCATTTCAATTAATTACACGGTATGCCTTTGGCATATGCATTCACCGTTGACAGCTCGTGTTTCAGTTAACTAAAATCTATGCATTTGCCACCTACTACTGTTCGCCTTTCAACTATTAGCTGCCAATTAGCAAATGCTCTGAACCACGCAAGCTAAGCTCCATGTCAAAATGCATGTCAGCCAACGGCCACGCCCCATATCACGCCCGCTTACAGTGGGTCAGATAATGACGATGGCTAGGCAAATAAGAAATAGGCAAAATATGATGCTTATTAACATAACGTAATGAAATCTCTTTCTCATAGTTTAGATTAGTCAATAGGCAATTCAAGATCTTGCCGGCATTGCAAAATGTATGCGAATCATCTTGATAATTACCCATTGTCTAGACAAGCAGCCGAGCAGAGTCTGAGAGCGTGTTCCATATTGTGTTTAGTTGCACCCAGTGGCCAGCTATAATTGCATTAACTTGTACGAAATCTGTGTCGCAACTGTTAACAATTGAACTGAATTCGAGTGCAGCTGCAACGCTGTATTACTAGAGGGACAGACAGATAGAGAGAGAGAGAGTAAGAGAGAGAGGGTGGAAGAGAGAGGGAGAGGGAGCGATAGCTTAAGGTGTTGAGTTAGTGGTGTTTGCATGAATGACACTTTACAGCTGTTGATAACATTTAATAACTGATAACTGGAAGTTGGAGTGAAAGCCGAGTTACGATAACGGCATGCCACATGTGAATTAAAACAATTTAGTGTTTTCAATTTGGAGTGAGCGACCAGCAAGTACCCTAAGTTAAGTTGCTTAGATGAAAGGTCAAGCGGGTTCGGCTGTCCACTTGTATTTGTCTTTAAATTAAATTCAATTGACTTTCAATACAAAAAGGATTCTAGATTCAACGTAGTATAATATCGTCTAAAGTATTCTATCAGCAAGTCATAAAAATAGAGACTTCTCTTGAATAAATACAAATGAAATAAATAATATATATTGTTTATACAACACTCCTAGACTACAGAAATATATATTATTCATACAACACTCCTAGACTAGAGTTTTTTTCTTACAATAGCATCTATGCACTTCAATGTGTTACGAAATGGAATTCAAATTGATAATATCTCTTAGTAGGGTATATTAATATAAATAAATAGTTGACATGTCTGCCGGTTTGTGTCATATCAATTGTCGAGAGCTTTCAACAACAAATGTTATTTGACATAAACTCACACACGCACGCTCTCTCTCTCCCTCTCTCTTACACGCTCTCAGCCGCCCTCGCGCGCTGTCTCTTTCGCATGACTTATGCACTCGACATGTGACGCGAATTACACTTTATGCGCTTTTTTAAGGAATTTTTGTTTTGTTTTTTGCTCTCTTCAATTACCAAAAATTCAATGTGCAAATTAATAACACAATTTAATATTTGACAAACGCGTCCGCGTAAGCTTTCAACGCTGCGCAGTAGCTGCCGTCGATTGGGCGGCGGCGATGTTATGGGCATGGTCAACAGTGCTGTGTATGTGTGTGTGTGTGTATTCCTTGACTATTTATTGCTGCAGCAAGAATCGGCAGCCACTGTGCCGGCGCAGTTTTCCAAGTTGATTTTGCTTTCTGTTTTTACATTGCGCTAATTTTATACATTTTTGTAAAATGTTGTTTTGCTTTTGTTGTTGAGTGAAACTCGCGGCCGCTCGGGCTCAGCGCTCGGCGTTGACTGGCCAGCGGATTGCTGAGCGGCAATGCGTCGCTACAGATACAGACATATGTATAGGTATATATATGGAAATATATATATGTATACATTTGTATGTTTTTAGCTGTCCCGCCGTAGGCACTTGTCGCACTTATTGTTTACGTACGTCAATCAGCAAGAGAATTGAGCAGAGAAACAGCGTAAGCAGAGCATGCCAAAGAAAGAGAGTGTGGGAGAGCGAGAGTAAGAGAGTAGCAGCAAGAGCTAGGGCGGGCGTAATATAATTAGCTTAATAAATTTATTCTCATTCAGCCGTCGCCTCAAAGTATGTATGTATATGCATTATATACATAAATCGAATGAAATCAGAACCTAAAATACATATGTATTCTATCAGATTTTGCTATAAGTAATTGATTAATGAGCAAAAATTAACTTTGATTGGAATTAATAATATATTGCAGAAATTATATTACAAATTTAAAGAAAATTACTAAACGATTTGGTTTGTTATATTAAACTTATAGTTCCGCTAGGTAAAATCAGTGGTATTCATGTGCAGCTAAAAGTATGCAATACTTTCGTATTCATCCGTATTCATGTGCCGCCTGAATGTATGCAATGATTTTTGAACAGCCCCATGCATGTGGCTTGCGAGCCGAAGCGCACAGCGATGTTGCTTAGCCATTGTTTGGGCCAAAAGCCAGAGCCAGAGCCAGAGCCAAAGCTAGAAGTAGAGCCAAAACAAGCGTCAGCTGCTGTCCATTAAAATTTTAATTTTGTGCACCATTTGCCATCTTAACTGGCCCCCGCTCTCACACACACACACTCGCACACACCTACACAATGGCATGCAAATCCCTTGGCTTGAGCGATTATGTTGATGTTGATGACTGGCTGGGGTAGCAGGAGACGGGTGGCTGGAGGCTACTGGCTGTTGGGCGGCAGCTTACCTGCAGCTGGCACCGCCGCTGCCTTCGTCGATAATACGCTCAATTCAATTTGCATATTCAGTTGTCCAATGAAGCGCACAGCAACAAGAGGAGCAGCAGGACGTGGGATCTGCGATCCGTTTCGGCCAAACAAATGCGTTTTTTTGCCAGCCTCGTTGGCCACTTGCAAGCAGCAGCAGCAGCATCAGCAGCAGCAACTCCAAATGTGTTGCTGACAGCTGAAGGCACGCATGAGCTGAGATCCAACAGCAACAACAACTGCAGCTGCAGCAACTACTGCATCTCCACCACTTGCTCTCACCTGCTGTTAGTCCATTACGCTAGCAATTTAACTTGCGCCACGTAAACATGATTATCATCTTGAGTGCAACGTGTGGATCCTGGAAAACAACCCATTTCCTTCTCTATGCCACCTTTATACACCTACCTCTATCCACCTGTGCGTGCAATTGAAGTCAATGTGGGCCAAGGATTGGGATTGGCATTGGGATTGGGCTTGCGCTTGGCTTTGCTGCTGGCAACTGCATAAGCTGAAGCTATTAATGCTCGCTTTGTTGCTCGCTGCACTGCACACTCGACGAAAATGATCAGTGAGTCGCAATAGAAGCAAGTTTAAGGAGTCTTAATAAAAATTTAGAAATGAGAGAAACCGTTGGGTGGAAAATGAGAGTAGAGAAAATTAGTTTTTGCTGGGAACTGCAAATTTTTGTATACCCTTTAGATGATGTAAATTTTTTTCTGACTTGCGTCTGATTTGACTGGAATTATATATAAATTGAAATAAATATTTTCATTTTGTATATAAGTATATAATCATAAGTATATTATTCTATAATAATAGAACCTGTAAAAATATATAGCTAAATATAAATTTAGCTAAAATTGTTTCCAAAATATAAAATAAATATATATCTCAATCATATCAATCACCCCTTTAATTTCTTCAAGTGCATTTGCTGTTTTTGCTCAACAGCTTTTGGTCCTCTGGCTGAACTGTTTAACGGCGCTGCAATCTGCTTAAAAGTGCAATTAATTTAATATCGTTGAATGCGCTGCAAAAACTACCGAGTCCCCAACAAGCCAAGCCCCAAATCCAATCTCAGTCCCGAAATCTGAATGCATTTAAGCGCTCGCCTCTAATTGAGCTTGTCAAAATCAGCTGCAGCTTGGGCTTGGCTGCCAGCTCGACATAAGACACAGACACATACACAGACACACAAACACACACTTGGTAGACGTTTAAGCAGCGAGTGCTAGTGGCCACCGTGGTACAGTGTTGCCTCAAGTCACGCACAGCAACGCCCACCTAAAATTGTGCGTCCTAGCAGGTGGCAATGGGGCACGAGCAGGAGTCAAAGGCTGCAGTAGCTAACCGAAAAATGACAGTGCAGAATTTCAACAGCAGCTTGATTAATTTGGGGGCGTGTATATGCTTAAATTTGTGGGCGTGGCTGAAATGAAGCAACACCATTTTAATATGAATGCCACAAAACGAGTTGGGCTGCTGCGACACGAGGACGACGAAAAAGGCAAACGACAACAAGGGAGGATTGGCGAATAGCAATGGGATGTCAGCTGGGCAGGGGATGGCTCAAAATTGATATTGAATAAGTTAAATATATAAATGTATTTATAGAGCATCATTAATTATATTACATTTACAATGGAACTCGACATGTGGCAGTTAATGGCGTTTAAGTAGTTTACAGGGTATATGCTAGTCGATGTTAAGCTTGAAAGTTATAGATGACATGCGCTGGTCCTAACTTACAGCCGCTTTACAGGGTATTTCTTAGTTGCCTATTGGCCCTGCCGTTTAAATATAAAATACGTACGCGGCGAGGTCAGATGCAGACAAACACAGATTTAAATAGACATACGCACGTACACAGACAGACACCAGGAGAGAGAGAGAGAGTGATAGACAGAGATAGACACACGCATGGATAGACAGATGAACTGGTATTCAAATAGAGGACCTCACAAAGTAGCGTTGACAAACCCATTATCAGAAAAACAAACCGGAGATTAACTTGGCAAAATGTCTGTAGACGCCATAAAAACTGAGAGGTGCTGAGAAAGAGAGAGAGGGAGTGACTGAGAAGAGTACAGAACTATACAGCCGGCAAAAGTTCGAGAGAGAGAGAGAGAGAGAGAAAGCGAGAGCGAGAGCAGGAAATCCACAAGAGCAGGCGAATGTTGAATAAAATATGAATACATATATATAGATATATATATATATATTTATGTTTGTATATATAATACATACATACGCATATGTCCTGTAGCAGCACTGCAAAAGTGACACATGAGCATAATAACAGCTAAGACCTTGCTAAGCATCAGGCAGTCAACAACCACTTGCCACAGCAGCAGGCAACATCGAGGCGGCAGCAGACAGGGGTAAGGATCCGGAAGCAGTAGCAGGAGCAGGGCACATGACCGGACAACCCCCTTTTTTGGGCAATGAGTCGTCCTCGTCGTTGTCGACGTCGCTGTTGCCGCTGCTGTCGCCGCCGCTGCACTCAACGTGATTGCAAATTATAATGTCTGAGCAATCGCCGGCAGTTGTGTGTGCAAGAGGCGGACCTCGAAATACCGCCCATAGGAAATATAATTCCACGGCACGGTCTCTCTGCCTATGACTACGGCAGCGGGTGTCCGGCGTACGGTGTACGGCAAACGGCGTAGTCAGAATTTGGTGCACGCACTGCCACGTCTCGTGGTGGTTGGCCAGACGAACTCAGCAACGGATGAGAGCAGTCGAGCTCTACTGGCAACTGGTTGGTTGTCGCTTGGTTGGTTAAACTCCTGCCTGCCTGCCTGCCTGCCCTTTGCCGTCTGCTGTCGCGCCCTCAGCTCGGGCGCCCATGCACGTTTCCTGCCGTCGCTCGAAGTTTAGTTAATACTGTTAGCATTTACTCCGTTTTGTTTTTGTTGTTGTTTTCAAAATAACTTAATTATGAATTGGCTGCAAATTGCTGCAAAATCTCTTTTACACACTTTCAAAATGGCTGCCATTGAATTTTAATGCCAGCCTAAAAGCATGCAACAGTTTTTACAGCATTGAGCTTGGAGTGCATTGTTTTTGCAGTAACTTTAGATTAGATAAGTGAATCATATTCTGAAGATCGCCGAGGCTTAGCTAAGGTATGCACGGTTAGCTTATAGCGTGCTTAAATTGTTGTTAGTTAAGGTCATACTTGAAAGAGCAATTTACATTGTTAGTTTCTTCTAGCTTCAAGTTTACCAATTAGGCGGATGAAATTCCGGTCAACATGCACTTAAATATGTTTAAGTGCGAGTAGCTAAAAAATATTTCTCAGATACTACCCGAAACCTACCCTCAATTAATTTATAAAATATCTTCTTTAACTTTATCTGTGATAGTAGCCTCTGTTGTCTTCCACAGCTCTCTCAGAAAACTTGCTCCAACAATTAACTTCAATTGGGAAATTTCCAGCCTAACAACTTACACTTGAGCTACGCCGTAATGCGATTAATCTCTCTCAACTACCATCAATAAAACTCCCAACTGTAGCCAATTCAGCAATCCACATAAAGCCGAACTCATCACTTTTGCATTTGTTATTAACCCATTTGCTGCCAAATGATTTAATTGAATGCGCCTCACACACTCTTTTTATGGCCAAAAATAATGCTAGGACATGAACATCCTTTACTACCACATATTACACTAGTTGTACTGTGGAAGGAGTGTGTATTTTTTTATAGCATTCGAGAGACGATGTTCTGGGCACGTGGCAACGCGGAATTTCTTGCTCTTCAGGCGCAAGGTCAAGGCGGGCCATTGTAACCCATTGCTCACACACACACACAGACACAGACACGAAATCGACCACACACATGCCCGCCCACCCTCTCGGAGGCAGCTACAACTAAATCCTTTTTGATTAAATTCAATGTTTTATATCCAATACGTTGGGCGGGTTGCCTGGGCTGTGACTATAGTCTTTTGGTCATGTTAACATTTTATATCTCTTTGAAACGCATTTTTCTTAACACAATGCCATTTTTTTTTTGCTTCTTTGTTTTTGTTGCTTATTTCACCCCCACACACATACACACACAAAAGACATAAAACAAAATGGCCAAGCTAAAAGAGACACTGGCAGGAAAATAGATTGAAGTGTAATCATGGTTTTGAACTGCTACTCGGCCATACATTTAATCCAAGCAAACGTAGCAAAGCACAAAATGGCCAACGAAATGAGAGAGAAAGTGGAGCGTTTACCCTGGCCCGCCACACACACAAACACACATATGTATATAGATATATTTATATATGTATGTGTGTCTGTATAAAACAAAAGGCACATTGTAATTGAGGCTGGGGTCCTCGCATGTAGGTGGAAAAGTTCGCTCAGGCCGTACGATTGCTCGTGCGGCGCTGCTTATTCCGCTTGACTGATTGAAGCGTCTTTGTCTCTGTCTACACACAAGTCTCTCTCTCTCTCTCTGTGTGTGTGTGTGGGTGTGCGTGTGTGAGTGTGTGTTATCTAAGTTTGTTTGAATAAACTTAAGCGAATGTTTTGTAAGAAGATTTCCTTTATTGCCAAAGAGTGAGTCTGTACAACTACACATATATACATATATATCTATCTATATATATATGGATGACAGTTGAAGCTGTGTCCTGACTGACTGCTTGAGTCCTTGCTAACGTTGCCACTGCAGCTTCACTATCACACACACACACACACACACTTCGCCTTCCTAGAACAAATATTCAGCTGCTTCTGCGAAGCCTTTTTGAAGTTCACTTTTGCATCGACTCGATTTGCGTTTGCTCTCAGTTGCTTTGGCTCGGTTTCCCATATAATGCCACATAATGCCAAATCGATTGTAAACCAAGACCGAAACACTTCAGTCACCAGTCAATGGGTAGCAGGCGGCAGGCGGCAAGCGGCAGAAAGCTGGCAGCTGGCAGCGAGCAGTTGGCAGTTGGCAGCAGTCAGCAGGCAGCAGTCGATAGCTAGTAGCAGTCACTGTATCATAATAAAACGTCTAATTCTACCAATTCGACATCTTGCCGGACATTAGAGCTGCGAATTACAGTTCAATTTAATGAACAACTTTTATGAGTTTTATGAACTATAGAAACTTTTAGTCCTTTCAGCCATTCAGGAACTTTTGGACAAGTTCAGTTCGTAGACAAAGTTGTTTAGTGGGTTATTTCAGTGAGTTGTGAATGAAGAGAGTTTCGAATATATAGTTTAATATGAGAAAGTCGTCTATTGTTGTTCAATTCTAGCTCATGAACTAGCTCCTCATAGATAAAATAATCAGTTTAGTTTATAAAGAAATATATAGATAAATATATAGAAATTAATATATTAACAGTACTCGAACAGAATCAACTAACTAATGAAACTTTGCTGCACTAAACAAAGTCTAGCAACACATTTAGCAACAATTCCTCTGAACAATAGTTCCACTACTTATTCATTTAACAAAAGTTCCTTATTCATTTCTTCAACCAGTTCAATTGAGCGAATTGCAATAGCTCTGCCAAACAGATAAGACGCAGCAATGAGAAAAACAAACACAAGCCAGAGAAACCAACAGACAAAGGCTTAAGTTTCTCCCCTATCTGTGCGGCTTCGATTTTGAAATAATATTTAATGACCGTAAAATTATATAGAATGCTAAATTTGAATTCTGTTTGCTCTAAGCTCTGCCTCTAGTTGGCTGCATTTGTTTTTATTGCCAGAGTTTGAGCAATAATCATATTGCGGTTTGTTGGTTTGACATTTAGGAGGCTAGACACTGATTAGCAATGGGATAGGATATATGGGACGATGCCATATCGTAAGGCATACGACGAGCTTAAGCAGCTAGGGCAATAAAAGTACAAATTGAAATGATACCATAAAAAGAAAGTCCAATTGAGTGCCAAATGCTAATTGTTGTACTCATTAGTTGAATTTAATAGGAGATTATTAAGGGTTATTTTATTAAATAGAGGTTGAATATGCTTTTAAAATATTAGAGAAATATTTATACATTTCACATTGAATTTAATTATTAAAAATCAACATTATTTTCATTCATTATTAATACACAAATTCCACAACTTACTTGAAGTTTTTGCTTTATAAAAATATGTCACACTTTGTAAAAGAAATTGCATTTAAATTCCCCTTTCGGACTTGATAATTGAGTTTTTTTACTGGAAGATCAAAATATGTTATTTTACCTCCCTTTTAAGAGCCGATGCATGTGCAAAACTTTCCGTCCGTAAGTATGGGAAAGCCAAAAAGTATTTTTATTTGAGTCTTAAGCGTGCATCAAAATTGAGCTGCCACTTGAAGTCATTGATAGTTTCTGACCAAGTGTAACTACTTTCAATAAATTCTACTTGTTATTGCTGTTTGCACTCTCTAGCGCATTCTCTCTCTCTCTCTCGCACTGACTCTTTTTTGATATATATATATATATATAATATATTCAACCCACACATCGGACAGACTCTTAAAATGGCCATAAAGCAAATTGTGAAAAATTATTGTGTATATAAAATTTAATGACATGTCAAAAAGGATATCCGGCATACGGCACAAATGGCGAACGAAGTGGAGTAACTGAAGCAAAGAATGGGCGTTGCTCTGACATCGTCAATGTCCTCAGTCGTTGTCCTTGTGGCGCTGTCGTCTGTGTGGAGCAGCAGCACCAAAAGCTTGTTGTTTGTGGGTGGTATATTTAATGTGCTGTAAGTCCTGCTACATACATATGACGCTGACAATTTTAGTTTAGTTGTTGTCTGTCGTATTTGGTATTTGGTATTTACTTCTTTACAGTGACAGAGATATAGGAAAAGAGGCGAGATAGAGGGCAAGAAATACATAATCAAGCGCAACTTTATCATTTTGTCGAGCAACAACTGTTTCGTGTGGGCCACTACGATGCCCTCAAAGCCAGTCTAGCCTCTCTGCAGCTCGTTATGGCCGTCATCATTACGCCTTGCCTTGGCTTCTCCTGCTCCTGGTCTGGCTGCACATTTTATAGTTTTCAAAAGTCACAAAAATGTCAATTGCTTGTCATGTGCGCTCCCCGAACGCCAAAATGCCATTGAATAAATTATATTCTGGCCATAAAATTGTTGCTGCCTGCTGCATGTTTTACCATTCCAAAGTCTCACGTCCCATTCCATGCCCGGGCTTACTTAGTAATGCCAACTACAAATAGCATCCGCCCGCTCGTTTTTTCTCTGCTGACCAGCACGAGCAGCTGGATCTCCCTGTTTATTTGCATGTGCGGGCTAATCAGGGAGCTCAGCTCTTCAAAATTGATTTCTACCCGCCGACCCCCAACACATTTTTGCTGCGCATGCAGCGGGAGGACTGCCCCTGTGTTGCTTATTAGATCACCCTCGGCATTTGCGATAATGACGCCATAAATGCTGAATTATGGCTGCATGCCAGCCAAAAAATACAAGCAGAAATGGTTGAATTTTGAGTGCTCGACTAGGCAATAGCCTGTAAATGGCAAACAGTTTTGTTCATGTATTCATTGAGTGATTTATCTAATGGGAACATTTCATCTCAGATTTTGCTCTTGATTTAATTGGGCTTTATTCATCCTCTAGCTCCTGATCTCTGATCGCTTTTTTTTATATACGGATATGTACTTAATATCTTACGAAATGAGATTGATCGTCTATAAATGTTTATCCAACGTTCAGGTATACTATTTCGAATGTGTGACAATATCTTCTTTAGTCCATAATAATCATTCATACAAACGCGCATGTCATACCCTATATGCCACAATAACACTACAGGGTACACTATGACAACAAAACTTGAGTTTTGGCATTCTTGTGAACTCAAGACCTTTTGAATTTTAATCAAGCTAAATATTGAAGCAGTTGCTGTTGCTCGTATTTTCACTTTCATTGCGCTGTTTATGTAGTCGAACGTCGGCCACATATAGATATGCTTGGCATCCACATCCACTCATCCTTTTTAGGATGTGTTAATGTTCCACGCTTGAATGGCGCATAAATTTCTTGATGCGGTTTTTTATGCTCTACCATTTGTCTAACTGGGGTGACTGTCGAACTCGGGACCACTCGACCCTCGACTGTCTGAAGTAATTGAAAATATTTGAAATAATTCATAAAATTTTATGTGATTTGCGCTTTGAAGTTCGCTTAGAAATACATATACATATCCATTTGGCAAGGCCATTAAAAAATAGTTTCAGCTCTCACTCTCAACTCAGCGTTGATAATTGCTTTAATGATGCCATAACGTCGCCTTGATAGCGGCCCTTTAATTTATGTGCCTCTGCCTCAGTGCCAACCGAAACTGCCCCAGGGCTAGCCCCTAGCTAGGTACAATTACTTATGTGTATGCATATCGTCACGATTTGTGTATGAATAAGTGAGCCGTCTCTTTTGCCATTGCATGATTTATATACGTTATGTGAAATGGGGCTCCACCTGTATGCAGCTACATATATACCTGTGCACACTTGTCCCTGCATAACCACTTGAAAAACGTTAAATAAGTTGTCTAACCACACATTAAACCAATTTCGCTGTCCGGCTGTCGGACTGGCTGGCACCTTTCGTTGGGTGAGTTTGTTTTTGGGGCACGCCCACACACACACACAGACACACACGCCCACATGCCAGCTTACGCCCTCACACATACACAGCAGTTTTTTGGACGCCATAAATCATAGGGAGAAACACGTATGTGACTACTTTAGCTCGGGGATCGATAAATTATTATTAGTTGGCCGGCCGTTGGGTCCGCAGCAAAGGAAGTTGTTAGACCCAACTGAAATCCTAGCCGCAGCGGTTCAAATGCCTTTTAACTTAACAACTTTTTCTGCCAACACCAAACATCACCACACACATACACTCTCACACACAGACACACACAAATCAATGAAGGACTTTGTCCTTGTTAGCCATGTTTGCTGCTGCACTGGCCGAACCCTTAACGTTGTGTGTAAAGTGGACTTGACATGAGATTAACATCTTCAAAAGCATAGCTTAAAGTATTTGTTAGAGTTCGTTGAAGTTCTTCCCTGGACTAAGGCGCGGTCTGTTTCGCCAACCTCCGTCGAGTCCCTTTTGGATAATTGCGTTCTTGTGCGCTGAGCCATGAGCTTAACTGTTGCTGTCATAACTAAGCGAAAAGGTATACAATTTATGAAAACGTCGTCCACTCCCAGCCAGTTGTTGACTCCTACCTACCGACGGCTGTAGACCCGTTCGGCACACTCGTTTGGAACAAAGAATAACCCACGTCGCGACGTGTGTATATTATAACAATTTTCGTTTGGATTTATTTTGTTGATTTCAATCGTTAAACAATGGCAAAATAGGATGCTTACTTACGACCTAGTAGGAGGAGTTGGTGGGGCGTGTAAAAGGCTCTAATCGTATACAGGCAGGTAGCAGCTGGTGTGTTTACAAGGCACGACGTTGACGATACTTCAGGCGACGAACAGTCTTGTATTGGTAACCATCAGCAGCGAGAACAGCGGAGTCCTGAGCAGGCTCAGCTTCCTCAACTGGGAGCTCGGTAGCAACTTCTTCTGCGGGAGGCAAGTATTCGTTGGCGATTTCGGAAACATCACGACGTTGACGGTACTTCAGGCGACGGACAGTCTTGTATTGGTAACCATCAGCAGCGAGAACAGCGGAGTCCTGAGCAGGCTCAGCTTCCTCAACGGGGAGCTCGGTGGCAACTTCTTCTGCGGGAGGCAAGTATTCGTTGGCGATTTCGGAAACATCACGACGTTGACGGTACTTCAGGCGACGGACAGTCTTGTATTGGTAACCATCAGCAGCGAGAACAGCGGAATCCTGAGC